CGAGAGGGACAAAATGACGCAATTTGTTCAAAATCAAGGTTTTGTAACGCGAGCTGTGCCACAGAACAACTGGGGCTGGCGCGTGATCACCGGATCGTGCGGAGGCCACCGCGCCATTAGCCACTTTCCCCGTCGCCGTGGCTGGCAAGAAGGCGCGGGTAGACCTCGGGTGCGCGTTCCGCTCCAGGCCCCGCCCACCGCATCGACGTCGGCTTCACGCCGCGAGGAGAGTACGCCGCCCGCCAGCTTCCGCACGGCATCTTTGGCCAGTGCTTCTCAACGCCAGTCGCGAGGCACGGCCCCGGAAGGACGTCTATCCACCGAGGGGCCACTTCCCCCCCCCCCCCCCCTCTCCCACAATCCGCTCGCCACACCACATCTCCCTCGCAAGCGTTGCCATTATGATGACAGCAAATCTGACTCGGGCCAGGTGCCAGTCAAGGCGCTCTTGGTCGGGGACGCGACTGCATCGGCCATCGATGACCTGGAGGACTGACCCGCGAGGCGCGCCAATGGCGATGCCGGCCACATTCAAGTGGTCGGGCTGTTTGAATTATGTCTTAGGGGTGCGGGTCTGTCGTCTGTGTGACCTCTGCTCACATCAAGTGTGTGACTGGTGTGACTGTTGGTAGCTGCCGCGCCCTCGCACGGTAATCTCCGTTTGTTTGAGCACACACCGTTGGTCGATGGGAGTGCCAACCCACAAAGCACAATGGTCATTGCCTAACGACCCACACCCAGGGCCCAGTATAGTCCTTTTATTATTTATAGAGTAACTTATACCTAGTGAGTTCACACAGACACTTCAGTCTCTTCACTGCGTGTGAGAGTGACGCACATCTGTGAAATACAAAGAAACCGATGCCGCTAGAGCCCGACATGTGTGTGTATGGATGGCTCGCGGTCGACACACTCAGTTGTCAACCCCCCCCCCCCACCCCCTTTATATTTAGTTGGTTGTGGAAATGGTTCGTTAGGGTTAATTGTCGGTACTCTGGTCGATTACTTTTGTCTTTATGTTATAGCTTCTTTTTCCTCCTCACCTTTTTCGGTTATTTATCTCTTGTCGATCAGTGTACCCCTGCGTATTTTGTTTTCAATTTTAATTTT